GTGGTGGTAAGCTTCCCCCTAATTGAGCCATATCCATCCCATGACCTGGGATTTTGTACCCTCCGAAGGCCCCAGGGCACATCTGGCTTTGGTAGGCTAAGGCTGAGATCCTAGGCTAAGGCTGAGATCCTAGCAGACAGCCTGGGAGGGTGGGTTCCAACCTCAATTGATGTAGTGTCAGCAGACTGCCAGAGAGTGCTAAGTTCTGGCCTCCCTCTGGCCTCCTTCTGGCATAGGGGTTGAGAGCACCAGCGACTGCCTGAGAACACCCAGATCCTGCCTCCACATGGTGGTGAGTTTCCCCTAATTGCACCATACCCAACCCCCTAACTGGGATTGTATGAGGCTTCTCCCAAGGCCTCAGGGCAGACCTGGCTTTGGTAGGATAAGGCTGAGATCTTAGCAGACAGCCTGCGAGGGTGGGCTCTAACCTCCATCTGTGTAGAGGCTGTGATCTCAGCAGGCCACCAAAGAGTGCCTGTTTCTGGCCTCCTTCTGGCATAGGGGCTGAGAACTCAGCAGACCGACTGAGAGTTCCAAAATCGCCCCCCCCCCGGGAACTTCCCCAATTTTGCTCTGAGTTCCCACTAGTAGGGGTACAAACTTTAGAAGGAAGCCTGAGTGTACCTGACTGTAACCTGACTTGGACTTCTGTGGGTGCTCCTGAGTAGCAGATCTGAAGCCATCAGCTCCCTTTAAAACAAAACCTGAGAGAACCTGAAACCTGGACCAACCAACTTTACATAAACAGTAAGAAAAGGACCAAGGCACACCAATAATACAAACAGAAGCACACTTCAACTTAATTCTCACATCAGAATCACAAACAACAAAAGAAATTCACATACCAAAATCACGATGAAAGAATAATAAAATGGAAAGCCAAAACACTATGTTCCCACCAAACTCCACCAGTCCTGCAGAAGAGTTCCACAAGGAGACCCCCCTAGAGATAACCCAGGACACTGAATTTAAAAGAACAATCACAAACATGATGAAAGAAGTCAACGAATTTAAAGAACACGTGAACAAACAAATCAAAGAACTGAAAGAAGATAGGGATATATTTCTGAATGAACTCATAAAAGAGAAACATTGAAGAAAACTCAGGCAGAAATGAAGAAGGAAGTGCAAAACTCAATAAGCCTCCTTAAAGCAACAGGGGAAAGCCTCACTGCTAGAATGAATGAGATGGAAAACAGAATATCAACACTGGAGGATAAAGTTGAAGAACTGGACCACGCGAGCAAAGATTATGGAAAATTAAAAAAAAAACACAGGAATGGAATACGCAAGAGATGTGTGACACCATGAAAAGACCAAATCTACGGATCATAAGAATAGAGTAAGGAGAAGAATTTCAGGTTAATGGTGTTGACCAGATCTTAAACAGGATTGTAGAAGAGAATTTCCAGAAACTAAGGAAAGACATCCCCATACAAATACAGGAAGCACATAGAACACCAAATAGACAGGATCAGAAAAGAAACTCCGCACAACATATCATAGTAAAAACACTACATGTGCAGAACAAAGAGAGAATGCTGAAAGCAGCAAAAGAAAAACAAGTCACATATGAAGGAACGCCCATGAGAATTACAGCTGACTTATCAATGCAAATTATGAAAGCCTGTAGAGCCTGAACCAAGGTATTTCAAGTTCTAAATGACAGCAGACACCAACCCAGAATACTTTACCCAGCAAAATGTCTACTATAGTTGAGGGGGAAAGAAAAATCTTCCAGGACACAAAACACCTGAAAGAATACATGCCCATGAACTTACGTTTTCATTTTGCTTTTTAAAATAACTGTAAAAATGCTTATACATCTAATCATTAAAGGGGAATTTATTTGGGTTTGCAGAATTTTAAAGGAAGATGGAATGAATGAGCTACTAGACCATCACCTAACAGATCTGCAAAGGAGCAGCTTTGTGCCCTGAGAGAAGGTGAGGCCAGGCCACTTGGCAGAGCTCATAAGGTACAGATCCTTGGATTTCTCTGGCCATGTTCCCTCAGTGACACAGGACTAACAATACGGAAGACTTACTCATCATGGACTCCTCAGAAGCAGTCCTGTCCTCTTTCCATGTTCACACCGACTTCTAATGTTCTGGGAAGTTTCACTGAATGAGCACCATGCAGACGCACAACTGCAGAGAGTGCTGGCTGGGCAGGAAGCGTCTGAGCTCCCAGCTTCCTCAGTCCTGACTGAGAGAGAACTTCTCTGCAGCAAAGGCAAGGAAACCTAGGACCACATCCTAAGGGGTGGAGAGGATTAAGTGACTTAGCATATGAAAAATATTGCCCCAAAATGCAGCTACTTCAGTGCCCAAGATGCCTCTGTGATTGAGGACTAAAATCCAGTTCCTTGGTTTGGAAAAAAAGAGCAGGCACAGAGGTGGGAGTTGCTAGGACACTGCCTCAAATCCAAGAGGATGTCAAGGTGGGAGGGACTGAGTGCCCAGACATCAGCAGGGGGACGTGTTGATAGGGTGTGGTTAGATCGGGCCTGGCATATGATGCTGAAGTGTGACCTGAAGACTGAGACTTGGGTTCAGGGTCAGGTTGTGGCTGGTGTGCTGCTCTCCTAAGAGATTCCCCAGACCTACCTACACGCACAGGGGAACCTCTCGCTGCTTACCCTGATATGGGAAGGAAGAATGGAGACACCCTGATAGATAGTTACCTCTCACTGGCAAATCAATCCCCATCCTTCCTTAGCAGTGGGACTTCCAGACAAGGCCAGAACAGCAGACTAGGGAGCCTCTGTGGGTGTCCTCTCTGAGGTGAGCCAACTGTACTCTAGACAGCAGTGACTCTGTTCCCTTTGTGTCAGGGCCTCTGCTCTCAGCCTTCTGAGCTCCACAGTGGGTGCCATGTTCCTCAGGACACCTCTGCCCACGATTCTCTCTAATGGACCCTGACCTCCCATGGTGACCAGTCTCATTGGGATTTTTCACGCCTCTAGGATCTTCTCAGGAAGGAGAAGCCCCTCTCGTCTCCTCCTGCCTGTATCATCCCATTGTCATAACTATCCCAGCACATCATCACATTGCTCCATTGCTGTGGATGAAGCACTGTGGGGAAGAGCCCTGGTATCATCTCATCCATCTTTGACCCAGAACACCCAGCAGTGATTTTAGAGTGCAGAACCTCACAGCTGTTCATGTGTGTCAGGTCCACTAATTCTCATTGGGACCCACTGGGGTGGAAGGCACGGCTTGTTGCTGTGACTTACAAAGGGGCAGGTGGCTCTGAGCTCACTGGCTGTCCAGGTGGAGCAGGGGTGAGCATTTGTGGAAGGGGTCAGAAGCCAAGCTTCCAGACCCCAAGCTGCAGATCTTAGGTCCACACCTACTTCCTCAAGAGGGTCCCCCAATAGGTAGACAGGGACAGATGCACAGAGAGATGATAGGTAGGTGACAGACAACAGATGAAGACAGAGGTCCCCAGATACAGCAGGTTGTGGCATCAGAGAGCACAGGATTAAACTCTTAGGAACAAACTAATGTGGAGACAGCACACAGAGGGGGGAAGGGTGTGTTTTCTACTGTTCATACTCTTCTGATTTGGGGTTTGCAGTTCTGTCTGAGTAAAAAGTTTAAAATGCCTTCATTTCTTCTCCTAGATCTGTAGTCTGCTGATGACAGTCTACCCTTCCCCAGGCTGTCCTGCCTGCAGTTGGGCACTGGAGGCATCTCAGCAGGCCTCATGCATATGACACCTGATCATCTGGGAGGTGCTTCAGGCCCTAACTGGGACCCAGCTTTGCCATGGTGAGGTTCCTGCTTTGTGTTTAACATGGTCTTGATTTCTCCGGTGAAACCGCAGTGGAGTTTTGTTCTTCTTCTTCCCTCACCCCAATGCACCTCCAGGCGCTCCTGAGGCAGCCCCCACCCTGGACAGCCAGTGCTTTCTCAGGGTTCTTTTGTATTAGTGAGGAGGACACCAGAGGCTGCAGCCTTTGCATTTTCCATGGAAGTTTCTCTGGGGTCCCACTAATTAGAGCCCAAGATGCCTTACCTCAGGCTGGGTGGTGTTGGTGTCCTTTGCCCGCTGAGCATCAGCTTGGCTCCAGCCCTCACAAATGTGTGGACTGGCAGCTTGTGGGGAGGCCGGCCAGCAGTGAAGTCTGAGAAGAAATAAAGGTCCAAGATGGTCAAAGGGAACAGGGCTGGCAAGGGGAGGATCCAGCAAGGGGCGGGGCGGGGCCAGTCGGAGGACAGACAACAGGAAAGGCGAGACTGGGCTTTGCACTGGATCAGGCGAGGGGCTGGAATGTGTAAACTAGGGCACGGACCGGGCTGATGTTGTGAGGATGCTTGTCCCAGGACCAGCGTTGGGGAGCGCAGAGGCACGGGAAGGGACGGTGGGAGGGACTGGACACGGCGAGGGGCGGGGCCTCCCGAGGGGCGGGCCAGGGCGAGGGGCGAGAGGAGGCGTGGCGTGAGATGGGTCCAGGGGTGGGACTGCTCCAGGGGTGAAACGGGGCTTGACACGGGCCGTGGCAAGGGGCAAATGGGAGGTGGAGCAACACTGGGCTAGGGGCGGAACTGGGGGAGGGACAGGATGAGGAAAGGACCTGGCGAGGGTCCCGGCTCCTCCTCTGAGTTAGGGCCCACCGGAGCTGAGGGCGAAGGCCATCGCTAGGCTGTGATGAGCTTTAGGGCTGGGGTCAGATCTTTGGGCCTGGCTGAGTGAACAGGCACAGCACTCGGAATCTGCACGGGGTCCACCCGGTGTTGCCTTGCGCGCTTGGGATGGAGACCCCACACTGAACCCGGATGAGGGAGCTGCTTATGAGCTGCTGCTGCTGTTGTTGTGGCTGTGGCTGATCCTGCTGCTCCTGCTGCTCCTGCTGCTCCTGGGGCAGGTGAGTGCACCTGCATCCCCTTCCCACCAAGCCCCATTCCCAAAGAGTCCTGCAGTCTCCTGGGCTCCCTGCCCCAGTCCCAGCACTGGAAGGCAGAGCACCTGGTCTGCAGAGACCTGTGCAGGATTGGTTGGAGGATGCCCTCCATCCCCAGGAATCCCACACTTCCTCATTGACCCTTAGGATCCAGTGCTACCCTCCAGGTATCAGACTAAGGCTGCAGAGATGCTTTGGCGCTTTCACAACTCCCACTTTCTTGTGGGCTCCCTAGAAGTGTGACCCAGGTTCTCCTTCATCCCCCTAGGCTGATCTGGGTCCTGACCTGACCCTGCACTCTGACTGCTGATCCCAGAGAGGACATGCTCACAGACACCTGAGCTGGTTTCCCTTCGCAGGGAAAGTGCAGTTGCTCTGTGGTGACATATTCTCTTTCTAACTCCTGATCTTAGTATGTGACAGAGGGAGCATGCTGTGACTAAGAAAGCTAACTTGGGAAGTACTTTTTTTTTCTAGGAACATGGAAGTAAGTTGTCCGTTGGCGCTTCCTAAATGAGTGCACTGGTGCTTTGTAGTTCTCTAGAATCCAGCCTTTTATCTGAAAGGACTTTTTAAAAGACATGTTTGAACCTGGTGTCTTGCTTTGGTTCCCTGCATTGAGAACTGTGCAAAGGGTGCATGCCCGTGGGTTAGGTGCTTATGTCTTTGCCCTGGGGGCTCTGTGATGGATCCAACTAAGCCTGTGCAGCAAGCGGGGAGTTACTTTGGGAATCTGTCTTCGTGGATGAAAATTCTGTTTTTTGGAACACAAGCCCCCTAGTGAGGCAGGTACTCCAGAGAGAGCTTCCTAAGGACTGCTGTGCAGTCTAAGGAAATATGTGGTTACCTCACTTTGTCCTCCAAGACTTCACCAGTATTTTCATTGTTTGGAATAACCCAGGAATGTCAGAGATTGTAGTTCTTTTAAGACCTAAATTTATCATTTTATCAACTCTAAAATTTAGATCAGTGACTTGGTGGTTGATATTAGAAATCTCCATATTTGGAATTTGTCCCGACCCGCAGGACAGTCAATGTGGGTACCTGGAGAGAGGAGAGGGGACTGAAAGGGACAAGTGATGCGAAGAATGGAGACAAGACAGGCTTTCTGATCAAGTCTCGTTTATTGAACATCTACACAAAGTTTTTATAGTGAGGGAAAAGGGGGAAGTTGGCAGGGATAAATCCATTGAGGCAGAGCAATTCAATTAACAGAACAATTGTCATAATAACACCACACCAATTGATCACAGAGTAAATTCCATAGTAACACCACAATTTTATAGCAAGTTATAAATCAAGAGGTTACACTTGCATGATTACAAAGTAATACCAAAGTTTCTTAGGCAGTTCCATGAGAAATGAGGGAGTCTCTCAAGCGGTAAGTGCCCGCGTTAGAACAACATGTTTGTGTGAGGCTTTCAAGTATGGTCATCTGGTTAATCTCAAACCAAGCCAGCCTTGATGTCTGGAAAACAGCTTTGCCAGGAATCAGGTCTTGCTATTTCCTGGGGTGGGGGCCTACGGCTCTCCACAGGAATTTGTATCCAAATGAGCTGGTAAAATAACCCAGGAAGCTCAGGGAGAGAGAGGAGAGAGAGAGAGAGAGAGAGAGAGAGAGAGAGAGAGAGAGAGAGAGAGAAGAGGAGAGAGGAGAGAGAGAGAGGAGAGGGAGAGAGAGGAGAGGGAGAGAGAGACTGAAAGAAAAGGGCAGTGAGGTCTCCATAAGCAGACCAGCCCGGCAGATCTCTGGGCCACTGTAAGAACAGTGGTTGGAGAAAGCTGCCTCTGGGGTTTAAAGCTCCTGGGCCTGTCTTTAGCAGCAGTTAGCTCACACCTTCAGTTTCTGCTTCTGCAGTGTCTGAAGACACCGTGAGCCTGACTAGAAACCGCTCTTGTCTCCATGGAATCAGAGATGCATTTCTCTCCCCTCTGCCTCTCCATTTTCATCCCTGTCATCTTTGTGAAAAGCTGTTTCAAAACAAATTGTACATTCAAAATGAAAACAATTTTATCTGTATTTAACAAGTTCAGCTTCTCATGTGTCGGGAAGCTTGTATATGCTTATCCTCTTGGGACTCTACAGTGATCACAGAAAGGGTCCTCTGATGGAGGGGTGGCGCCTGTACATAGCCCGCAACACTTAAGTGTTATCTTGAGGGGCTGGAGAAGTGACACAGTGATTAAGAGAGCTGCCTGCTCTAGCAGAGGACTGGGATTGGTTCCCAGTACCACATAGGGGCTAACAATCATCTGAAAGTCCAGTTCCAGAGGACCTAAAAACTACTTCCGTCCTCTTCTTGCATTGCATGCAAATGGCGCATTTTCATACATGGAAGGAAAATACTCATACAGAGGAAAATAAAAAATTAACTCCCCCATTTTTTAAATAAAAGATTTAATGTTTTTTCCTTTAGTAAAACCACGGAAATTGTTAGATTCTGAGGGATTATGAGTTTCTAAAGCCGTAGTGCCCTTAAGTTAGTACTAAGAACTAACAGTGGAGTGTGCTAGTTAATGTCTCTAGTTTATTTTCCTGCTCAGAAAAAGTACTCAACCAGATTTTACGTTTGTTTGACAAAAGAAATATAAGTGTTTTAAAATTACCATACCAGCAAATGAAAGAGACTGCTTTTAAATGAATTTCAGTTTGCAAGATGTTTATAATACCAATGTTTGGGGCTCTTCTTGTACATTTTTGTTTAACTTTCCTCTTGTGTAATTTATTTCGAGCAGGTGAGCCGCATCCATCTAGAGTGTCACTTTCATCTGTAAATAAAGAAGAGAAAAAAACGTGCACGGCTTCAGCGCTCCCAAACAGAAAGCACACAGGTGTGTTGGGGTGAGTCTGGACTGGGGCTGGAGGTCTGTCTGTCCACACTTCTCATCTCCATCTCTACTCGGAGGGTAGAGGACACCTGCATGTTAAAGATAGGTCCAATTTCTATTGTTCTGGTGAACCCCAGGCAAAGCTCCTGTAGACTTGTATTAGTGGAGTTTTCACCAACCTTTTCAAAAGGAAACCTTCACCATTAACACTGACAGTTTCCGTGGCTTGATGAGACAACAGCCACTAAGGTAATGTCTTTGGCTCTCCCATGCTCCGCAGAGACAGCTCCTGTTCCCATAATAACAGAACATAGCTGAATACTGCATTTTAAAATCTTAGCTAATGGGGCTGGAGAGATGGCTCAGCGCTTAAGAGCACTGACTGCTCTTGTGGAAGACCTGTGCATCAACACCCACATGGTGGCTAACAACCATTCTTAACCCCTGTTCCAGGCGATCTGACCTCATGTCCACAGGCACTGTATGGCACGAGTGTACTTATAAACATGCTGGCAATACACTCATTTGCATAAAATAAAAATAATAAATGAAATAGTTTAAAATCTTAGCTAATCGTGATGCTGGTCCCGCCGAGGGTGATGGGAACATATCAGAAGCAAACACAAAAAAGATACATTTGATTTCCAGAACACCGGCTTGTTGTAAGCATTTGAACCTGTCAAATTTTCTTTTGGGTGGTACAGAAAGCCTTCTGGGACTCCAGGCTCTTCATATGTCTCGTCCATTTTCACAGCCCATAGGGCCCTGGGTACTTGCCCAGGCATCACCAGCACAGCCTTTTGTCTTAGACACCTCCCTGCTCTCCAGCCATGTTTTCTCTGTCTTCAAGAAAGAAACTGAAATCCAAGTGAGGCTCTGTTAACATAGTCTGGTATTCCTTAGCAGGCCTCTGGTCCTAGATTCCATTCTGAACTTCTTACCGAGTAATAGTCTGTTCCAATTATTTTACTAATGTGAAATTTTTAGTAGCCCCTTCAACTAAGTAAAATAGAAACAAGAGAGGTTAATCATAATACTGTGGTTTATATTTTTCAGGTTGTGACTAATTATCATTTTGACACACGAAGTGATAGAGAATGATTGTTTTGACGTTCTTCCTTGTATTAGGTCTTAGAACCTGGTGTATTATTTATCTTTTAATATCTTACATATTGGGCCACATTTCAAGGCTCTAGAGTCACAAGTGTCCAGTGGCTCCCATGCTGGGCAGATCAGCTCTGTTTAATAACCATCTTGCCCTGCCTGCCTGCCTTGGACCTCCATTTCCTCACCCGAATGTGGAGGCTCTGCATCCAGACGTCCTTTTAAAGACCTCTCATTCCATTGCACACACGCAGTTCTCGCGGTCACATCCTCCAAACTGTTTGGTTGACCTGGGTCCAAAGACGCAAATAGTCACCTGTTTCACCACCCATGTGGAGGGCTAGTGCTGAAGACCTGAGCTCAGCTGGCAGCAGATGAGACACGTGGGCCAGCTTCGTGGCTCAAGAGAGCCATCTTGAGTAGCCATGTGTAATCAGAGTGCCGGGAGTGGCACTTGTCCCCCCACCTGCCTATCTCAGAGCAAGCGCAGCCTCCAGGCTGTCCAGGCTCGCTGTTTGCAGCTGGTTTGTTGGAGATGCAAACTTCATGTACAATAGTCAAATCTTTGTAAGTTCTCAGCCAGTACATTTGTGTTTCAAAATTCTTGCCTGGCCACATGGTTCCATGACTAAAAATAGTTGTCCTCTGTAAAGTTGTCCTCTGATTTCCACATGTGTTCTGTGACACTCACAAATACACATCATACCAACTCACAAAATAATAATAATAACAGCAATAAAAAATAATCATAGAAGAAGGGTTTCAGAAGCAGTCAGCATCATCTGTATTACAGTATATATATATATACACATTATGTACATATACTACAGTATATATGCATTATATACATATACTATAGTATATATACATTATATAATATACTAGTATATATA